AAATATGTATTGCAAAAGACGCCGAACCTTTTTACAAAAGGAATTGCAAAAGTGTGTGTGCAAAAGTTTTGCAAAAGCTTAGGTGTTTTTTTGGCGAGCGCGAGTTGGTTCCTGCTTCACAAACCAACAGGGCGGTAAGTGTTTGACTTTGTCAGTGAGGAGCAGGTGAATCGCTTAGTATACTTTAATATACTTTAATATATTAACAGACTTTAAAAAGCTTAAAAAGCTTTTCTATTCATTTCATTTCAGGCTCGACAAAGGCGCTAAGCGCCGAAAGCTCGCCAAAAAAGACCTAAACTTTTGCAAAACTTTTGCACTCACACTTTTGCAATTTCTTTTGTAAAAAGTTTTGAGTCTTTTGCAATAAATATTTTGAAGTCTCACATTGTTTATTACACATTTATAAAAACACTATTGAAATAAAAAGCGTAGTGGAAGGTATAGCTCGATGGAGTATGTTGAGAGATACGGTAAATCTGGTAGCAGGGTCTACCCACTAAAGATGAAACCTTTGTAAGCGAAATAACTGAAGGATTCGCTCCAAGAAAGCGGTCTGTCTCCAAATTTTACCGCCGTCACCCTCCCAGGTGATCACCGACCACCTGCCTCATCACCATAACTTTCCTATAATATTTGTTTGTCGGACCAATCGGGAAGAGAAGGATGGGGATGTAAATAAGGCTAGAGAGAAGGTAACTTTTCCGATTCTGCCTTTTTCATGCGTCAAAATTGTCTAAGAACTTGTCGAATACGACCCTCTTCCACAACCACGATCTCCTCAACTTTAACACATACGCCCCCTCTCCACTCTAACCTATTCAACCTAATGCGACCCCAAATTCGCCCGCTCCACTTGGTAATTGTACCAATGAGGTTGACGATGTGTGAGACCATAGGGGGAACCACGGGGAATCCCACTGTAATCATAGGTCGAAGAATGGGGAAAATTTAAATAATAGAATGTCCCCTTGCCATATCGAAATGTTGTTCAATCAGAAATAACTTAACGACGTATTATGTGAATATCGCTTTATAAAACGAAAGCATAGTAGAAGTGTGAGAAGAACCTACAACAAGGAAGAATAAGTGCCCGAAATATCTGAATGAGGTTTGTTGTATCCGAGTTTTGCGTAGTTGAAGCTCAAAATTCGGATTTGATGTGAGGCGGCGGCGCCTGCAAAATCGCCGTGGTCCCACGCGGCGCAAAAACCCAAAACGCGCGTTGTCGTCAACGTGTTAAAATGCCCATTTCACGCACTTTGCGGAAAAGTCTTGAAAATTCAGAAAATGTTGAAAACAACCACCTTCCCTACAAATACAGCTCCTTCAACTTCCACCGCTATGGTTCCCTGGAGCTCCGAATGTGAACCCCATCCAAAACCAACGAAGAATCCCCATACGTATTATCTCAACGGACGATTTTTCCCTGCTCGTTACTCAACAAATTTTTAGATCTAGCGTTATCAACGACTCCATTCTTCGCTGTCGCTTGTCAGAGTTCTCCCTCGGGTCTTCCTCGCTCGTGTGACACAGAAATTTCGATCTTTACGTTCAGTGCTTTTGTGGATCATTCGGATGACGGTCGCACTATGCAATCGTTTGGTGTCCTGAACGATCAACTAGCTGTGATAGGCGGTCATCATAGAATCGCGTGAACTGTATGGTCCCTTCGATTCTCAACTCCTTGAGAGGTGTTCCAGCGCCCACATGAGTTTGCGCCTAGCCTGGGAACCTCAGGCATGTTATCTTCACAGCGCATTGTGTGACGCTGACCACAAGCTCTTCCTGCCTGCGCAGAGTTCAAGCACTTGAGGCCTAGTTAAGGGAAGGACTTCAGAATCGAGAAAGTGAATGCGTAGTCATGCATTCTTCGCCTTCTTCACTACTCTCCCAGTGTTTTTATACGCTCCCCATGCCGCTCGTTTCTGCTCAGCTCTAGAGCCAGGCTGCTGGTCATGCTGATTTCCGGGCTTATTTAGTGTCGTCTGCCTAACAACTATTCTTACCAAGCAGCTAGTGATGCCTATGACAACACTTTGATATTTGGGATTCGATCCTCCTCCAAGGGGCGGGGACGAAAATTCCCTTTAAATTTTCTCTGTCTTCCCAACTGGGATTGTCCTGATAAAGGGCCTACATTTAATGTATGTATGTAGTCAAAGTAAACATGCACTGAAAATGAAGAAACTATATCGTTAAAACAAATAAATTCGAAAGGGATTTCCGTCCCCCAGCCCTTGGCGGGGGATTGAATCCACTCCCTAGACAGTTGCGACATTCCGCAGCAGAAAAACGTGTTAAATATGGGGTTCAGATGAGAAACGCAAGTGCTACTTGTTTTGCTGGTCGAGAGTAAGGAAATGGAACACCTGAAAGCACCATAAAGAATGACCCCCTAATTTCTGGAAGATTTCCTTCTTCTTCCTCTGAACTTGGCAGAGACTGTGAGTCAACCCATTGATAGTAGGAGGGCTTGAGCTAGCCATGGCTGCAAGCAGGGTCAACCCTATGTTGCTACAAGTAGCAACGGGGGGGGTCGTATTTTGATGAGTTTGTAGAGGGGGGGTCGTACTTGCTTCGGTTGTAAGAAGTTGCATGTGATGAGTGGGGAGCGGCGCGGGAGAAAATTTGCCGTTTCAGCGCGCGTATATATACCCCCCCCCCCAATTTTTGGGGTAAAATTGTTTTGGAAGAGGGGGTCGTAGAAACCTTGTGAAAAGTAGCAACAATAGGACCGACCCTAGGTTGCAAGCTTCAAGCTTCTAGCGCTTCTCTGCGTGTTTCGAATCCACTGCGATCCCAGTTCTGTGGTTGCGGACCTAGCATCCTGTTCACGGCATGAATCGGTCCGATGGTCACAGATGGTCAAGGAATGTGCATTTAACCGAACTGTGTTGTCAACTTCTATGCAGTGATTCTTTGAGTAGTTAGTTGGCGGCTGGCCATCAGGTCCAACGTGCTCATTTGCTGTTATGAGGCAGGGCTAATTTTATTTACGATGCCCAGAAATCGGTCAAAATTGGTTCTACAGGATGCCGTTTTAGCTCGAATCGCACAGAGACACAATACACTGAGAACTTCGAGTGACACAGCAGACTAACACCAATATGGTTTACGGGTTTAGAAAACGCCTATGAGAAGACCCCTTTTCCCACTTCCTAGATTCACTCCTCGCACACGTCTGTAGATCCGTATAATTGCTTTCTGTTGCATCTCGCCTTACTTCTCTTCCAGAGAGATTTTGTTCCAGCGAGATTGCCTTTTTTGTGCAATGTACTTCTTTTGTTCCCGCTGCAGGCCACACATCTAACGGTTTTCGCTCGGATTATTACCGCGCTAATTCATCGCTAAAGTGCATATAGCTGAACAGACGCTCGGAGACGTTTCTCCCACACTCTCCGCGCAGTGTACGAACATTCCACGCACGGGCGCCGCATATCCCTTCGCCACGGGCAAATGCTTTGCGACACAGACAGAAATTCGACGCCTTTGTTTGGGATCACCTCTATTGAACTATATATGAACTGAAGCGAGATAATGCGTCCTTCTCACATTCTTCACGAGAACCCTTCGAATCTGACGTTGTACGAAACCGATCTTCCCAGTGTTGTTCAGCAATGATCGTTTGAATCTCATTCAGAAAGCGCTTTGGCAAGATCGTGGAGAGTGAGGTTAATATCCCTTCAGAAAATAAAACAACGAGACAGCCTTTTTTGATATCTCCCGAGCTGTTATAGTTTTTTTGACGGCAATTTCCGGGAAACTCATTTGGGAATCCGCGGAAATGTAACCATACTTGTGGTACCGGTAAGTAAGACAACATGCATCAATGGTAGCTTGAACAACCGAATTCCACGCCTTTTCACTATGACATCTGCCCCTTATCTATTTATTAGCTTGATATAATACATCTCCAACTGATGGGTTCCTTCAAGCGCGAGAGGAGCCTGACAATGTGACCTCTGAGGATGATGCAGATCAAGTGAATATAACACTCTCACTTCACTGTAGGAAAAGAGTGTCAAACTTAATGTCGCCGTTCTTTGCGACTAATCAAATCAAAGAGCTTTTGGAGGTTCTTTGTCAGAGACACTCGCTAGTTCTTTGCAGGTGCCCCGCCCCCTCGACGCTAGAAATCGAAGAGCAAAAGAGAACTGACGTATAATTGAGGCGATTTCTATAGGTAAGCAGAAAAAATACTCTTGTGGATGAATTTGCACACTCCGCATGTCTCCTTTTATAGATATTTACCGCTAAACGCTAGGCCTAACCATATGGCGTGGGTATCATCGCCGGTAATTAATCTCAGTCAAGCAGCAA